AACAAGCACCACGATCCTTCAAGTACAGGCTTAGTAAGGGCCCATTTTTTGTCACTTTACTGCAGCTACAGCCTTAGTAAAGGCCTATTTGATACTACTTTGCTGCAGCTACAACCTTAGTAAAGGCCTATCTTTTATTACGTTACTGCCAAACCTAGGCTTTCCGGTATGATTTCTTTAAATGTGAACCCTTTTTCGAGGTCGCAAAGCCAGCAAACGCCTACGTAATGGAAACTCCTCTTCCGGACCCAACAAGCGCCCCAAAAAAATTCTTTAAATGTGAACCCTTTTAATATTGAGACCCTTGGATTACGGAGACCATCGAGTTGCATGCTCCACATCAGGTGTGCTCGCCTCCCGAGCATTACCCCTCGAACATGCCATCGCCCACATCTGCCAGGAAGCCGCGGTTGGCCGCCATGAACATGGATGGGCCGATGGGCCGGTCCACGATGCGCGGCGCATCGAGGTCGTCTGCAACGGCCTGCCGCTTTGGCACGGCGCGCAACTTGCCGTTGACGCCATGCTCGTCAGCCCGGTGACCCGACATGGCCGCCCGCATGACGGAGCCGACAACCACCGGGTTGGGGCGTTCGCAATGCCGCGCGACGCAAATGCAAGCAAACGTACCACTTTCGCGAGACCGAGCTGTTGCCTACCTTGCAACCCCCGCCCAGGCCATGCTGCGTTCGCAGTTCGGGCCGCACGCAGCCGCGTGGCTCAGCGCCGTCCCGAGCGAGGCTGGCTCCGCTCTGCCGCCCGACCGCATGCTCATAGCCTTACGGCGGCGGCTGCGGCTGAGTTTGCCTGTCGCTCCACACCGACGTGGCGCACGGGCGCGGTTGCGGAGCCGCTGTCGACCCCTACGGCGACCACCAGGCCGCCTGCCCTCGAACCGGACTGCTCGCCCGCCGAGCCAAGCCCCTCGGCATGTGCGTCCTCGCCTGCGAAGCGGGAGACCGATGGAGCGCCGAGTCCCTGCGTCTTGTCACGCAACTCGTGCGACTCCGAGCCCGCCCTGCTCACGGGCGCCCTGCCTGGCGCACTGCACCCGCGGCTGTCACCAGACCTACCCCGAGCTCGTCCGTGCTCGCCGCTGCCGCTTGGGAGTCGAGGTTGGAGGCCGTTTCGGCGCTGAGGCTGCCACCTGGCTCCGGAAGTGCAGGCAGCCATGCGGGCGGCAGCGCGTGCAGCGTGGGTTGCCCGTTGGTCCGGGCTGCTCGTCCTAGCTGCGCAGCGCGCCCTCGCCGCATCCTCATTGGAGCTCCCGCTCGCTGGTGAGTGCAATGTCGCCGGAGAAGCGCCCGAGCTGCACGAGGTCCTCGCCGACGCGCGCTGGCAGCTTCCGGTGATCGGCAGCCGCCAGAAGCCCCGCTAGTGCCTGGCAGGAGCGCCTCCGTAGGACCAGGTAGGCACTGACGGATGCGACTTTGGGCTGCTGGAAAAAGGTCCGTTCGAAAAATGAAAAGAAAAAGTTCCTCCCACCCTAAGTCCGCTGGGCCTGTAGTGCGCAGCTTGCACGGGGACCTGGACCCCTCCGTCTTGCGCATATCAAAAAGCTGTGTAGGAAAAAACATTCCGCCGCCTTAGACTGCAAGTGGCACACGGACCTGGACCGCCTTATCTCGCAGTTGCAAAAGGGTGCGTGAAAAAAATCACAAGCCATGCTCCTGGCACCGCCTGAGGTTACATCTGCCCCTGAGCCCACACGCTTGCTTGTTTGATGACGGGACTGCTTGCCAGACGGGAAAAAGTGGTCGAACGCGCATGGCTTCGCGTGGCAAGGGAAACAGTCGGTGCGGCAGGCCAGGTGGCACCACAACAGGGGCTCGCCCACCACCGTTGACTCGCACAGGACACCCACGGCCGTGCGCGCATCGACGGTGCGGCGCTGCGAGTCGCGGAGTGCGGCAAACGGCCTACGCCGAACGCACTTGCGTGATCGCCGCAGCCGCTGGAGGCTGGTCCAAACGATGGCACGGCATCTTGTCCGTCGCAGTCCAGCAGGCCGTGCGGGCACGGCCCTTGGTCGTGCGTGGCCGCTGGACAGGGAGCCGGGCCCAGCGTGGACAGTCGCCGAAAGCACTAAGGCGAGTCGTCCGCCGTTCGAGCCGAATGGCGAGGGCGACCAGTCGCTGCTATTCCGGTCTGACCCAATCAGTCGCAAACCCAAACAAGGCCGTAGCTATTTCAGGTCGTCGCGAGGCTCTTATGTAATTCGTTAAGCCATTCCGGGCCAAGGCCCGTGTCCGGGCCCGGGGTCACCACTGGGAGCGGCCCGACCAATATAAACAATCGTGGCTGTCGTGGTGAATTTTTTTGTTGATCGCTCCTTGCATTGCTTGTTTCTACTACAAGTTGCACTGGCTTTGCGCGTGCATGCCACCATGGCTTGTGCCAAGCAAAGCTCGTCAACGCCATAGCCGGCTACTTCAGCTGCCAGTTGGCTGTGCTGGGCGCGCCCAACGTCGACGCGACCTGATTGGGGGAGCACTGGCATGTCACTACCATCCTCCTCGACGTGACGCCGAATTTGGCTTCGCCCGCCAGGGCTGCATGCTGTTTGTCGGAGCCGGAGCCGTCCACAACTACGGAGTTCCCAAGCTGCGATGCCCGCACCTATTCTTTGTCATGGTTTGTCATGTTTCGTGACTTGAGCACGCTTGCAGAGCAATTGGCTGAACATGCCCTAACAGCATAGACCATCTCGGCCCTCGGCATCGACCTTCACCCCGTCGCGCCCTTCGTTCGGGATTATACCGCGAGCACTTTTCAGTGCCTACGCGACTTAGCCACGCGAGCCGGACTTGTTTTTGCCACCGCTTGTCCCATTTGTCCCGACCTGCGCTGGCTCCCGGATATGCGCATGCATTGGAGCCAGCTGCTTGCATCCAACCGCTTCGACCACCCCCAATGACGCATGGCTGCTGCTGCCTGCTCGCACCCTCCCCCCCGCACCTCGCCGAGGATTACGTCCATGCGCATGATCACTGCCGGAACCAGCGCCCCTCATCCCAGCTCCGCTGGCGCGGCGGAGGTCCATGTGGCAGACCGTTCTGCCGCTGACACTTTGTCGGTCGTTCAGGCGTGAGCCCCAATTGTGTCTTGGCGGCCACTCCCCGCATCCACCACCTCGGCTATGCCGGCATTTGAACACTTGCACGCGCAGGGCTTCGTGCCCCCCACCTGGGAGTCCGTCTGCGCAGTCCCGAGCCCGGTGATCTGTTGCGAGGTTGCCAGCCGCGTGCGGCCCAAGCTTGTGACGAGTGTGCAAAGAGTAGCATACTGACTTTACGCCAGCAGCGGCTGGATGAGCCGAGTCCTCCCGAAAGACTTGACCAGGCGGATTGTTGTCCCAGTTACCTTCGTTCTTCACAGCCCAGCCAATTAATCAATTTAAACAAATTATAGCGGAATCCAGCGACGACACCAGTTCTGATGATGTGCCTGTGGTGGCAGAGTTAAATCGACCAGCTGTTTCGTATACACCTGGTGCATTTGCGGCTCAAGAGTTGTGCGGCCCTGTCTTGTTCAGCCATTTTGCCCGTTGATCGCAGCTTGCAAGAACTGCAAGAACCAATTCGTTGTTGTGGTGAATGCAGCTTTGTTTGCCAGTGCGCTGAAGGCCCAAGCTCGAATGGCGCCAATGGAGGAGGCAATCCTTGCATCAAACGTGATGCGGAAGAAAACAGTGCGGTATCGCCTGCAAGGCAGCGTCACCTTTGGTGTTGCCCACACGCCCATTCCAACCAGCGTGGCTGGTCCAGACCTTGATGGTTTGGACTGCAGCTTGAGTGCAATACTTGAGCAAGCGAAGACAAAGTGCGCCGCCGAGATCGGATTGCCGAAGGCAAAAGAAATCATGGGAGCACGGGCCTTGGAATCTTAGCCAGCTGGCTTTATTTGACTGGTTAGTTGCGGGGGCCACATTCCGTATGCGTTGCGAGGTGGAAGCCCAGAAGTCTGCCATGGCATACAAGCACCACCAGGAAGCCAAGACGAAAGGGGCGGAAATCAACGCGGATACGATCAACAAGGCCTTGGGTGGTGAATGCATGTCCGAAGTTTTTCTGTTCGGCTTAGCGCCGCGACAGGTCGGAGACTTGTCTCGACTTCTTGCCTTCCAACCTCAGTACAAGGCTCGTCAGATGCCGCTGTACTGCATGTTAACAACACGAGCCGCCGGCCTGAAGATGAGGCTCTGCTGAGGGCGCGACCGGACGTTGCTCAGGGTGAGTTGGTGCGAGTTACGGACCAATTTTGCTTCTGTTCATGTCATGTGTGCAGGAAAGGTTCAAGGGGGCCAGGGGGATAATTCAATTGTGCAGGATTGGAAGTTGTTGACCCCGGACAACTATGACCGCACCTGCTTCCACATTGAGGCCCCAATTGTGATGTTTTTATGGCACACAGTGGCGAGAAAAATTTTCACATGTACCTCCAGGTTGATGTCAAAGGAACTGGCCTGGAACATCTGGTCAATGGCAGCATGGGGAAAGCTCTGTCCGTCTATGCGCTGAATCCTGCAGACAAGGTGCTAGGTTCTGTAGCTGTGAGATGCTCGCCACGTCAGTCTGCATGTGGTGAAGGTAACCGAGTTCCTGACGAAAATGAAGCTTGATCCTGATGAGACGGTGTCGGTGGAAGACATCGCTCCACAATCTGAAGAGGGGACCGTTGTGGTGACGCAGCGAGCCCGGACATGTTGCCATTGTCAGCTGTTGGTATCAAGCGGTTGTGACCACCTCTGAGCAAGGACGGTGTACAAGCTCTTCTCTCAGTACTTGGATTTGTTCGGAAAGCCGAGCCGCGAGTTCTTGAAGAAACTGTTCCCCTTTGCACAGGACACCTCGGCAGTGTGCTATGTTTTGTTCACGGTTGCGCCGCTATGCTCGGCAGGATATCATGGAGAAGGTTGCCATTGCAGAACTGACGCTGGAAAGGAAGACCGAAGATTTTTTGGATCGCCAAGCGCGTGCTTACACTTATGCCGATTACATCCTCGAGTATCCGTCGCCGCTCTGCTTCCAACTAACGACATGTGCAATCAAAGCTTGATGCTTCACGAGGGTGTGTCTTGAACGCTCAGGCTCAAGATTCCGGCCAGCAGCTTACAGCAACGAGTGGTAATGAGTACTTATGCCTCCAACTTCAATTCCTTGGATGCTGAGAAGATAGAATCGCAGTCCCGACCGTTCAATGTGCGACAGTGCTTAGCTAGGTGGAGAAGTATGTCGAGCTGCTGCCGACCATTAAGCAGCGCACAAGCCTCAGCTCCCCCACTGGTTGTTTAAGAGCGCATGTGCCGGGCAATCAGCAAGTGACAGGCGTGTACTCGATTTGCTCCTCCAGTGACTTCCGGCCCGGCAAATGCCAACTACTGGTTGTTCGCGAAGACTGGCAAGCGAAAGGCTTGCTAGTGCTTGAGCACAGCTTGTGACTGATGTGTTCAGTTGCCAGGTGGTGATACCAAGTTTGGCTTGTGCTCCAGCTTCATGACCTTCCTCAGGCAAACCTGCAATTGTCGCTGCCAGTTTGGAAAATACCTGCCATGTAGAACCTTCAGGAGCTGCCATGCCGGAGCCAAAAGTTTGGAAAATGCAGCCAATAACCAAAAAGAGAAACCAAAGGCGCCTTCGCCGCGACTGTTGCCACGACTCCGTCATGCACCTAGGACATCCCACGACCTAGAAACCCTGACGGGTCAGGATTGCCCACCAAAACACGATAATTTTGTTGGGTGAACTTTCACCGAACAGCCGAACATCGCCTAGCAGCGGGCAAGAAGAGGGTCTCGTGCTCCAGTTGTTGCGTTGCAGGCCTGGAGCCATTTGCATTGCGCATGCGACCCACTCTGTGATGCAGATCCCTGAGGACAGCCTGTATTCTTAGTTTCTGTGCAAGCCAAAGGCCTTGGTGAAATTGCACATGCAGGATAAGTCTGCTCCGATCTTCATGGCTGGCTTGGGGACGGGCCTCGCGCCTTTCCGAGCCACGGGCCCTGGCAAAAGACCGCAGCGTGCTGCGCCACACTTCCTTATGCTGCAGGCCTACATCGAGCAGCGCAAGCACGAGAAGTCACAAGGGGCCCGAGTGGGTCCCATGACTTTGTTCTTCGGTGGCCGGCACAAGAAGGCCGAGTTCTACTACCAAGATGAGCCGCAGCCACAGATCACGGCATGGAAGGGGATTCATACTCATACAGCAGGTGCTTCTAAGCACTTTCCACGGTTTTGCGGCATGCATGGGCTTGGTGCTCACGCGATGCAGCACTACCCGTGATGTGTTGTCATAACAGCGTTGAAGACTTGCTGCCTCTAGCCGAGGATGGAGGCTTACGAGAAGGAGGGCCTTGTAAAATGTTGCAACGCCTGGTCCCGTGACCAGAAGGAAAAGGTGTACGTCCAGCACAAAATCATGGAGGAAGCGGCCCTGACCCAAGCCAACAAGACGGATCCACATGGCTTGCAATTACGCACCGCTTCCGCCGTCACCCTAAGGCTAACATTTGGCAGCACCTTGGCAGGGAAGGCTCCAATGGATACTTCTTCCTGTGTGGGTCGAAGCAGCCCGAGAAGGACCTGCGTCTTCGGCTTGGTCGGGGGTGTCCCACACTGTCACTCCCGACAGGTGTCTGGAGTATGTGTGTGTGTGTGTGCATTGCTCAGTTCAGCACCGGACATCTGAAAACTGCATTCCGGCAGTGACGGCAAATGGCATGTTGTCAGATTTGTGCACAACATCGTGGGAGGACGTTTTTGCCGCACTTGTGAAGATCATGGAGACGAAAGGAGGTGCGGTGATCCACAAGCCCGAAACTGTATGGCAATAACACGCTGTCGTTAAGTAGTAGACTTAGTAGACGAATCGGCTCTTGTGTTCGAAAGGGTTTCGATCTGCGCTCCTAGTTGGAATCGGGGGGGCGGTTGAGTTCAAAGACTGCGCTATTCTGAGGGCTGGCATCCTGTACCTTAAGTCCCGTGGCGAATTTGGAAAATTTTTGTGCCTTTGCTGCAGGTCTCACGAACGAGCAGGCCCACAAGAAGATGGAGAGCCTACAGCTTGCTGGCCGGTATGCCAGGGCCACTGCTATGTAGACTGCTATGTGGAAGCTAGTCGCTGTGAGCTTATGTAAACCATCACAGCGACCTTCTTGTCAAGGTCACGGAAGTCTACTGATCTGACGATGCAGAGCACATGTTCGCTTCTTGCTTGAATGATGGGTTGGGACGACATCAGTCGTTGCGCTCGCATGAATCTTGACAGGCATTGGCATAGCTTCGAACACACTGACGAAGGTGTCACTCGAAAGCCAGCCCTTGAATGCATGCAATAGATGATATGAGAAGAGCGACCTCAAGAGTGTTTTCCCAGGAGGGCTGGCGAGTCAAAGTTGGCAGCGGGTAGCTGCATACGCAGCATTTTCCAAGCCAGCCAGCTTTCAATCTTGTTACGAGCCGCGACATCCGGTCTGGCCACACGAGGGCCGAGACTCGCGAAGCTCCCTTCCCTCAGGAGCATGCCCGTGTAGTGCATGTCCTTTTCTTCAGGTCTGCCAAAGAGGGCAGACTCAGGATGTCCAATCAAGTCCAAAGCCCCTCCAAGGCCCAAATCCAGTTCAAGCATCAGCTTGAAGGCTCCTGCAGATTTTGGCGGCCGTCCATGGATGTGCAAAAGACCCCTAACTTGCGGGCTTGCATCGCGGCCAGCGCAGTTTCCTTTCGGCTGCTCCTCCTAGAGCTGTTCGACAGAGGCTTTCCAAGCTTGGCTTCGAAAAGCTTCAAGCCCACTGCAGCAGAAACCTTTCATGACTTTTTTAAAGACACGCACTTGGGAAGTCAGAGGGTGAAACTTGGTCTGCTGCAGCATGTGGCGAGCATGGGTTGCAGACACTTGAATGGGCTGTGGGGGCCTTAGCAGCTTGACTGATGCCAATGCGGTTCCTGTTTGAGACACTGACTGCCGAGATGGGTGCAGCCTCCTCTACAGAGTCCACTGCAGATACAACAAAGAAGAGGTCCGGACCGATGCATGCAATGAAGACTTAAGGCCGCCGCATCCTCGGCAGGTCGAAAGGGAAGTCAAAGAAGAAAGCGGCTGCAGAACTCCAAGACGGCAAGAGGTCGGAGAGACCCGAAGCGCCGGATGCAGAGGTGCAGTCAAAGAGAGAGAATCGGCCAGCATAGCCTAGCAATGCCTAGCGTCGCTGGTCTTCTTGCAGGATTTGCAACCCGTCCTTCCAGAACATCTTCCAGAGCTTTCTCAGACTCTGGGTCCAGAGGGCCCGGAGTGGCCGGAAGGATGTCCTGAGCCTAGAGCCAAAGTGCCCCCTTCGAGACCTGAAAGCGAGGGACTCGAGGCGCAGGAGACTTTGCCACTGCCGGACGTGCACTTCGAGACAACTCCGTCCGTAGAAGGCGAGGCTTACGACAACTTCGAGCTGGAAGGTTACGACAACTTCCCAGAAACTCGAGAGCGGGAGTCGTTTGGAGTCTTCGGGTTCTTGCCCGCGAAGAAGGACCTGCAGAGCAGCGCCTCCTACCGCATCCCTGCAAGGGGGCACCGAAATTCCAATGTCCACTCGTCGCAAGCGCTCCGAGTACGATTTCTTCGAGTTAGTGTTCCGCAACAGAGCACGGGCTTGCCAGGAGATTTGGCAGATCTGTATGTGAAGCTTCGGCTTGGACCCCAAAGCTTTCGAACCCCTTGTATTGAGAATGGTCAGACGGTGGTTGATGGCAATGACTTCACATTTCAGTTGGTTCACGACAGCCTTCAGCTTGAGGTCATGAGGGTAAGCGCGTTTAGGGATGAACTGCTGTGTAAAGTGTCTGTGGAATTGGGCCGGCGTAATCTCGTGGCCGGCGAGTGGCGGCGGCAACGGCTCCCATTTCCAGACAGAAATGGCGAAGTAGAGTTTGAGCTTCTACTGGGTACAGCGGTTGAAGTGGCAGCGCATACGGCAGAACCGAAGAGAACGGCAGCTGGGGAGGAGGAGCTTGAGTACCAGGTGGGGCCTCGCATGTTCCAGCCAAAAGCCCATGCATTGCCATGGGAAGGTGTTCGGGTGTTGGAACTTACCCGCCGAACATGGGCTGCTGCACTCTGCGGCCAGATGATGGCCGCATCCGGTGCTGAGGTCATTCGTGTAGCTTTCGGAGAGGAGGCACTTCTTGCACGAAAGAAAGGAAATGCCCCTAGGAGGCCACTGAGATCGAAGGATACGGATAGCTTGGAGAAGGCAAAGGCCAACCTGGTGCCACGGCAGCTCCACGTGGGGAAACGTCTTGCCCCTCTCCACCCCGAAGATCCCGAAGAAATGGCTCTTCTCCGATCAGACCTCTTGACTGGTTGCAACGTCTTCCTCACAGATCTTCCAGCAGATGAGCTGGAGGACATGCAACTCAGCGCACAGACTATGCGAAGCAGGTTCCCCCACTTGATTTACATACATACCTCCTGCATCGGGATGCTTGCAGATGTCGCCAAGAAGGGAGTAAACGATGCCGGCGCATTCTTCTGCTTGTCGGGAATGGCCGAGCAGCTTGGACATTTTCTAGGCCCGGCTGGCTTTGCAGCAGCAGTCTCGGCCTCCGCCTTGTTCGGAGTTGCATGCATGGCGGTGATGCGTCGGCGGTGTGGCAGTCCAGGAGACCGAGTTGAGATGAGCATTTTCAGGGCAGGACGATGGTGTGCAGCTCTTGGTGCTCTGACTGGATGGCACAAGCCACAGCAGCCGGATTTGCGATTTTTCGTGGAGCCAGACACAAAGAAGATGCTAGCGACGCCATTCGACGTCGAAGGTGTGGCGCACATCCGACCGGCGATCAGGTCATCGCATCCCGACACACACATCAGATGGACCGTCAAGGATCCAGCATCACTGATGCCTGGTGTAATGCAAGGCTGTCCAATTGCGTCTGAGTTACCACTAGCTCGGGTTTCCGTCATTGAGATCAGCGACGAGTATCAAGTATCCGCTTCTGCAGTCGGGGCGCTCCTGGCCGACTTAGGCGCTCGCGTAACAAAGTTGGAGCGACCGCAGAGACCAGACCCTTGGAAGAGAACCTGTCCCCAGCTCTACCAAGACTTGACGGCCAGAAAGAGTGTGAGCGTGGTGAACTATTCGGGAGTGGGAGGGGTTGATGCCAGGGGGGACCCCGTGCCAGGACAAGCAGCTTTATACAGGACGTTAGCTCAAGCGACGATTCTAGTCACAAACTTGCCGTTGGCAGCGCTTGCAGCTTGGGGTCTTGAGCCCAAGCATATGCGGGAGATGTTCCCTCACTTAATCATCCTCTGGATCACGACATGGGGTTGTGACGAGATGGCCCGCCAAAAGGAATTGACCTTTGGCCGGAAGGGAGGTCAAGAAGCACATGCTTTCTGGGAGGCAAGTGGCCTGTGCCAGGCCTTCAACGGAAATGCCATGCCACCGGGGTTGAGCGAGTTGGCAGTGGCGCAACATGCCTTGGGAGGCTTGGGTATGGCTTTGCTACGCCAGCAGCGAACTGGAGCTGGGCAGCTCGTTCACATCAGTCGGTACCAAGCGGGCCTCTACTGCCAAAGCATTTCGAGCATTGAGCCCGTTGCACTGCTGGCAAGTCCGCTTCTCCAGACCCTGGACGGCCGATTCCTCCGATTGCTTGGACGAGGACGAGTCCAATGCCCGCTAAAACCTCAAGCAGAAAGCCTCAAATCATGTAGACGTAGATAGACGTAGTCTGCCTCAAGCAGTCAAAGCGTCTGCCTTATGCAGGGCATCAGCCGCACGATGCGTGGGTCCTCCTGCATGCTTTGGGCCGCCGAGAGGGCCTGATGAAACGTGCTGGAAGCCCGACGCACTCCGTCGCAGCAGGGAGGGGTAGCAGGTACGTACAAAAAAGTCGACGAGCCTCGTCGTGTTGACCCTAAGGAAACATGGACGCGCTGCGTGAGGAGCTCCAGGGGTACACTTGGGAGGCCTGCGATCTGGAGTGAACTCGGAAGAGTGAAAGCGCTCGCCTCAAGCCAGGATCTTCAAAAGCATCAAGACGAGCTGCTGGCATGTGCCAGGAACTGGAGCTTTCAGGACGGGCCCTCTGGCCCTGTGCGCAAGGGCTTTGGAGAATCCAAGACTCAGCCGCAGGACCTGGTCAAGGCCTTCCAGGACCTCGCTCTTCATGACGAGTGAAGGGAGTGTCGAGTTTCCGGCATGTCCAGGAGAAGGGCATTGACTGGATTGTCGAGGAAATGAGGCCCATGGATGCAGAGGCTCTGCACAGGCCGCATGTGTGAAGCGGAGTAGATGGTTTTCAAGGGAGAGGGCTCTCGCGATGTTGAACCGCCGTGCTTCCTTTCAGCTGGCTCAATCGCAGATTTTTGGGTGCCGGCGTTGACCGATGGCCGATGCGCCTGCGCGGGACAGGTCCAGGTCACCACCACCGACAGCTGCCGGAACTCGTGTCAAGGCAGGTCGTGGCAGCGGCCTGGGGCCTGGAAGTTCCTGGAAGCGCCTGGCAGGAGATACGTGTCATCGGAGACAGCCGAGTGCTGATTGCTCCTGGCCTCGTCGATGAGATCCCTTCGAGACTGCACTCGGCCGGATTAAAGCCAGCGGCACTAGCACCGCGCTCAGATCAACACGATGTCAAAGCATTATTTTCCTTCTTTGTCTGCCGAGGTTATTGTGAGTGATAAGACCGTCGACAGATCCCTCCTCAGTTGCGCAATGTTTGAAGTTGTCTTTGCGAGGAATGAGTTTGCTGTCGGGCTTTTGTGAAGGTCACTACGGCGATCGCTTGGTCAAGGCATTCGACACCTTTGCCGCTCAAGGCGGAGACGGCGCCACCCGTGTTTTGAGGTATGCTTTTCCAGCTGGTGAGTCGTCGAAGAATCGTGATACAAAGTCTGCCATCGAGGAGACCTGCATTTCGAAGCATTCAGAGGCATAGGTCTTCACGCCACTGGGCGCTAGACTTCTAGGCATTTCTAGACTATCGATCCGCTGGAGGACTACATGCTGGCAAACAAGTGCACGCGAGACTCTGCAATCCTTGCACTGGGTGGAGGTGTTGTGGGCGACCTCGCCGGCTTCACAGCCGCAACATACATGAGAGGTATCCCTGTCGTTCAGGTTCCGACTTCAACTATGGCGATGATTGACTCCAGCGTAGGAGGCAAGACGGCTCTGAACGTTCCTGCTGGGAAGAACTTGATCGGGGCCTTCCACCAGCCGAAGATAATCTTCGCAGATCCAACTGTGCTTGGGACGCTGAGCCGCAGAGAAGTCGTAGAGGGCCTGGCAGAAGCAATCAAGATGGGCGTCATTCGAGACGCGGAGCTGTTCCAAACCATGGCTAAGAATCCTGAGGCCATCATGTCATTAGACACGCAGCTGTTACAGGACGTTCTTCACAAGGCAGTAGCCCACAAAGCCGAGATCGTCGCCATTGACGAAAAGGAGACGGGTCTTAGAGCGACCTTGAACTATGGCCATACAATTGGTCATGCCATTGAAGCACTGGTATCGCCAAAGATGCTGCACGGGGAGTGTGTTGCGATAGGGTGTGTGGCTGAGGCCGAACTTGCTCATAAGATGGGCCACCTTAGCGCTGAAGCCATCCCGGAGATTCGCAAATGCTTCGAAGCCTACGGCCTTCCAGTGGTGCCCCCGCCAGGCCTCTCACTGGACAAGCTAATGGATAAAATGGCTGTCGACAAGAAGAATCAAGGAAAGACAATCCGGTGTACTATCATTACATCGGTTGGCACCAGCATCGACCATCCGCTCCCAGTCAAGCGCGAGCTGATGGAGCTCGTGGTGGGTGAAATGCTGAAGAACTCAGCTGTTCCCCCACATGGTTGGTAGCAGGTAGTGTGCCGGTGCTGAAAGTGCCAAGAGTTCTTCTCCAGACTGCCCGTTTACGGCAGCAAGAAAGCTTGACGCTATGTCTCCGTGCTTTGGAGCTTTCGGGATTTCTGGAGCAAACGTCAATGTGAGGCAACGTGCAGAGCAGGTGGAGGCTTTGCGGCAACGTCAGCAAGACGCTGCCGAGAAAGCCTTGGAGATGGCCACTGGGAAAGCATAGAACCGCGGAAGTGCGGAGGAACCGTAGGCCCGTAGGCCATGAAACCTTCAAGATCGTGTGTTGACTTCAAGGCCCAACGAGCCGTTGAGCTTCAGCACCTTGGCTGAGACTGGTGTAGGCAGTGTAGGCAGTATCGCTAGGACCCATGTGCCAATGTGGGGCCGAGGCGCGATCTCTCCGATTCGAAGGGCCACGCACAACGCGAGCTTCAGGAGCAGCCGCCGCCTCAGAACGCAAAGTTTTGCAGAGGCCCTGTTTCTGGGTGGGATCAGGTTGGCCGATCAAACAGAGCAGCAGCAGAAGATGGAACTCCTCCGTGAGCAATACCAGACAGGGGCGGCTTTCAGAGTTTCCTGTCGCTTCCTCGTGTCGTCTGATGCGAAATCCAACTCGACATGCAAGGTGGCACCTATCGTGGGTGTGACCGTTGATGGCGCGGAAGGCAGGTTGTGGCGATGTGCCTAGCCCTGTCATGATGAAACGGCTCCTACTCAGGACTTGAGAGCGACAGCAAAGTGGCCAACCTGGATACGTGCTCCACGCCCCATCTAGCCTTCCATGCTGTGCAGGCGTATCTTTCCGTTGAGGCAGCCTTCAATCGTCGGGTTCAGCAGCATGCACAAAGAGCCTATACTTCAATTGCAGCATTTTCCCTGTGCGCTGAACTTCCTGCAATACCTGGCGCTCATCTTCGGGCATGAATCAGGCATGTGGTGTGTCGTTGGACAGGGTCGGGGTGAGCAGGTACTGTGTCATCGAGATCGCAAACAAGCCGCACACCCGATTACAAACGGGAGTGCTCGAGGCAGGTCTCAAGAAGTGAGTAGGTGTGTGCGCACTGTCCTCCGGCAGGGAACGGATCCAGCCTGGGACTTCACCGGCCTGCTCCAGAACTACGCTTTTGGAGACGTTCTGAAGTTTGCCGTGTACTGCAAGGACGCGAGCGGCGACAATGTCCAGTCGCCATGCATAGAGTACAGGTTGGCCGGTCAGCCGAATCGTAAGGAATCTCGGCTCAGTCCGCGGGAGTGCTCCTTGTAGCTTCGTGCGATGGCTCGTCGAAAGCTGGTTCCGTTGCTCCTGGCGGCGGCGTGTGTGCTGCTTTGCCAAAGGGTCGGGAC